TTGGATGTTGTTTAGTGTCTTTCTGCTGCACACAGAGGTTGTTCAACAGAACAAAGGTCATGAGCAGGTCAACAGGGGCATGGGGATAGTGAGGGGCTGGGGCCAGTGGCGCAATGGACAATGCGCCTGACTACGGATCAGGAGACTGCAGGTTCAACTCCTGCCTGGCTCAAAACTTTTAGCCTGATGGTAGTTCCTCCTGTTCCTTCTGCAAGGGTCTTCCTTCCCCTTCCCATCATCCATCCTGCTGGGCATTCTGACAGTGGTCCAGCCAGGTTTTCATCCACTTTCCTAGCCTTTCATCCATATATTCATAATCTGGCTACAAAAAGACTCTAGGAAACTGTATTTAAAACTTCACTTAAGATAAACGAGTGTTTCTTTCACAGGTTCCAGCAGGGCAGGCAGTTGGGTAGGTCAGGTAGGACCTTATTAAATCTATGCTGGCAGTTTGCAACTCCTTTTGGGTCCTTCATGTGTCCATTTACTCAAGTGATTCCTGACTTGTTCATCCTCTGCCATGAATAATCCATTGCCATAGGCTCTGCGAAAAGCAAAAGGACATAAAGCTGAGAGCTGACCTCATTAGTAAAGACAGAGCCAAAAAAGGCGTTGAGTACCTAAGCCTGCTCCATGGCTGTTGCTATTTCCCTCATTCACTCAGAAGTGGTCCCACAATTGCTTTTAATTTTCTTTTGCTGCCAATGCAGTTCTAAAAGCCATTTAGTTGACCTTTCTCATTCCTACCAATCTCAGCTCCAGCTGAGCTTTGGTTTTCCTGTGTCAGCAGCTACTTCTAGCCATCAGATTGGAAGAATAATAATCATCCTGTTTGAAACTTGTGGGACCACACTGGGAGTCTGTGTCCAACCTTGGGATCTCCAAAACAAGAAAAACATTTGCAGATTGCAGAGTCCCAGAAAAGGTCATCCAGATGAGAAAGCAGTGGAGTGGCTGACGAGGAGTGCCCTAGAGAGCTGGGTATCTGTAATACAGACAAGGAAAGGACAAGGAACGATTGATTTATGCTATGTAGGAAGAGTGGAACCAGGCTTTTATTTTGGACTTAGAGGATGGAACCCGAAAAGAACAGATTATAACAAGGAAAATCTCTATTAGATTATAGGAAAAAAAGAATTTAAGAGGTCATCAGGTCATCAGAGGTCACACATTAGACTAGGATCTCAGAGAGGCTTAAGAGTTCCCATCCTTGGAGACTTTCAAAGCCCAGCTGACCCACGGAAAAAAGACTCCACAACCTGCAAGGTTGTAAAGTAGGTGTGTTTATTCAGCACGCTTGGCACACGGGGAATCTTTCCTCTGAATTCGTGTGCACCTTCTGTGGCAGCTTGTCTTAACTTTTATACAGTAAAGTGTCGCATATTCATTACTATGCAAAAATGCCTATGCATATTCATAACATTTCCCCGAAAAGGCCGTCTTTTTCCAAGAAGTCCGGTCGCACCTGTGCAGTGCCTCCTGGTGGTCGTGGGCCAGGGTCTCGGGGAGTCCTTTTTCCTACTAAGCTCTTCACCTTTGTTCCTTGCGCATGCTCCCTGGACCCTTGGCGTTTCTCCAAAAGCCACCTGCAGTGTTCTTGTTGTTATCAGAAGCCGTAAGATGTGTCAGGCAGGACATCCTTGGCCTTATCAGGAACTGTAGCCTACCTCCCTTTAGACAGTGACCTAAGATATATTGCTTCAGCTAAATAATTGCTATCCTGTTAACTCTAAGCATTATTCCACCAAGCTGTGTTAGCCCCAAGCTATAATTTTCTTTATAAGTGTTACAGTTCTCTCTATCATAACTAACTAAATGAACTAATGTGAAGGACTTTTGTGCTCTGAGCAGGGGATTACATCACTTGACTTCCAGGGATGTCATAAAATCTAAATTTTTCTATACTTAATTAAATCCTCTTGCACCCTCCCCTGCTCCCCTCACAAAGCCCATCCAGCAATGGGAAGCCCCCAAATGTCCAGGAGGACCAGGGCCAGTGGTGCAATGGACAACGCGCCTGACTACGGATCAGGAGATTGCAGGTTCGACTCCTGCCTGGCTCGTCATTTTCCTGCCCACAGCCTGGCTTTTGAACTGATGATGTCAGAGGACCACTTTCCCCATGGTGGCCTGCCTTTGCATGGAGTCTCTCCCTTCTTGCTGGGCTTTCTGCACAGCAAAAGCTTCCCTCCTATCAGGGGATACTCTGACTGGATATACTGGCAAAAAAATGTTAGCATGAGGGTGGTAAATCACTGAGAGAGGGGCACAGAGTGGCTGTGGACTCTCCATCCTTGGAGATATTCAGAGTTCAAGCAGACGAGACGTTGATCTCAATGTGCCAAGCTGAGCACGAATTCGGACTAGAGACCTCTACGTGTAATTTCTAACCAGAATCACTGTTATTCAATGGGAAGTTCCTGCTTCCATGTTCTTTTGCTGCTCTATCCCATGTTGGCAGACTCATAGTCTTGTCAGCACCTTTATGGTACCTTCACCCCACATGCGGTTTGCAGAAGGAAGGTCAAAGATGCTCACGTGCAGGTTAACCCAGACCAACCGGCCATCAAGTAAGATCTCACTACCCATAGTTGACCTCAGTCATCAAGCAGGAGGAAGTGGAGGACAAAACATATGGACTTGGGCTGAGCTCACCCCTCAGCTGGACACCACAGCTCCAGAGAGCCCTGGGCTGCTCCAAGCCTTGCCTTGTCTGGGAATTGTAGAAACGTCTCCCATGGGTTAGGCAAGGTGGCTCCTCCAGCCCACCACAGCAGCCAAAGGGCTGGAGGCCACCATCTGCCTTTGCTGTCTGGCCTCCTTATAGGGGGACTCAGCACAGAAACCAATTCTTCTGGGTGGTGGGACCAGTGGGACCAACACTGACCTCTCAAACATGGGTGAGTAGGGCAAAGCTGTCATGGATGGAGCAGGAGGGAGGTAGGTGAGGCCTTGCCACTTCTGTTTGACCACCAGCACACCCAGATGGTACAGAAAGCATGGTGAGGTCCCCAGGTAGGACCAGGGGTTGGGGCCAGTGGCACAATGGACAATGCGCCTGACTATGGATCAGAAGACTGCAGGTTCAACTCCTGCCTGGCTCACCCTGAAACTGCCTGGCTGTTATGGAGGTGACAAGATACAGCTGTCTTCATGAGGTCCTTCCCCTTCCAGGTTTTTTGTCCATCTCTCTGGCATCAGCATCACAGAGGCATCATTTTGTGACATGCTGCATCAAAGCTCTGAGCATGCCACCTGCTTCAAGAGCCTCCACTCCTCATGTCCTTTTTGTCCTGGCATGCTGACATCCTAGACTGCTGGGCAGCAAGACTGATCCAGAGGTCTCTGAGTGTGTGTTTTGCTCATAAGCCCTGTGATGATCTCCTTTCTGTCTTCCTGAGCAATTCTAATTCCTAAAAAAAGGCTGCAAAGTTATAAAAGTGAGGGTTCTGAGATGGCCAGGTGCTTCATCCCTCCACCCTGACCTTGTGGCACAAGGGCAGTGTGCCTGCACATGAATCACAAAGTTCAGTGTCTGAATCACACTGAGAACAGGCTTGGGACAGTGCAGGTGGCCTGTTTGTGCTTTCCATGAGTCTCATTGATGGGGCACACAGAATTTTGCAAAGCATTGACAAACTGCAACAAGACCAATGTGTACCTCTGAGGTGGCTGGGGACCAGAGCACATGATCCCCCAGCCTGGATCTACCCAGTCTATGGGGTGGCAATTCAGAAGGCATCTTCATCATGCTGTGGGTTTTGCTGTGGTACCCCTAAATATGGTGTGGGCCTCAGTTCTGCCCATTTTGGAGTGCCCAGCTTCGCTGAAAGGGCTGGAGAATCTTTTTCCTATAGACAGGGCAAGAGGACACCCTGGCACACTTGTCCTGCAGAAGGCCTGACTGGATGGATGATGGGCAGGAGAAGGAAAGCCCTTGCAGAAGGAGCTACCATCAGGCTAAAAGTGACGAGCCAGGCAGGAGTCGAACCTGCAGTCTCCTGATCCGTAGTCAGGCGCGTTATCCATTGCGCCACTGGCCCTGGTCCTCCTGGAGCTCTGAGGGCTTCCCATCGCTGGATGTCAAACATCCTCTGCACTCAGCAGGTAGACACGAAACAACATCCGATGCAACATCATTCAGTAAGGAACATCAGCTGGACTGCCAACCGCTGACTGCAACCCCCTTGGCTTCCTGGTCCAGCCACTTTGCTCTGCCTTGTAATTTGGTTTAGTGTTACAGGGACAAGTCTGGGAGACCCCAGTAGAGGCCAAATCAAAGTCAAGCTAAGTGATGTTCCTTGGTGTCCTCTTGACCACTCAGGAAGTTATTTCTTCAAGGAAACTTATCAGGCTGGCCAAGAGTGGCCTGATTTTGGAGACTCCACATTTCCAATTGTTTTCATGTCCTTCCTTCACTTGGGCATAACTTTCAGGCATATTTGTTCTATAGTCTTCACGTGGGCTCTGAGGTGAGGCTGATCAGACTAGAGCTCCTCGGATCCTCCTTCTTACTCTTCTTGACAAAAACTCTCATGTTGTTCTTTAGAAACCTGTCTTGACTGCCAGGATCTTTCACTGGGCAACTTCTCTTGACCCCTGCAGAAGTCCCCTGGACTGACTGTACCACCTTATGCTTCCCTCCCAGGCAAATATTGCCTGAGGGTAAGTCCAGGTCCTCCAGGAGTGACTCAGCATGCAGTTATGAAGCTTCTTTCACTTCCATGAAGAAAACTTAACTTCCTTCAGCTTGTTGATGAAACCACTTGCTTCGGACAGTCACCATAATACCCCACTGCATCGGCCTCTGCTTTGACTGCAATTCCATAATCTCCAACCAGCACAATGCCTGGCTGAAATGAAAGCTCTGGGCACCACATGTCCCCAAAAGAGATTCTAGAAGTCCTCTGCTATAGCTGTGGCCAATGCCTTGCAGAGCCCTGCCCCTCACCCAGACCAGCTCCACAGAAAAGTAGGGGCAATACAGATGGTGGTAAGGCTGACCCCAGTGTGATTTGAACACACAACCTTCTGATCTGGAGTCAGACGCGCTGCCCTTGCGCCACGAGGTCTGGGTGAAGGGATGCATCTCGCTCCAACGCACCCTGGCCTGGGTGGGGTGGATGTCCTCTCCACAAGGACCACCCCAGGGATGCCCAGGCAATCCCTAGAGAACAGCTGTGGGATGTAGAGAGGATGAGGCCACTCCTTGAGTAGCCAAGCCCTGCCCACAGCATGATGACCAGGCTGGAGGGTCAAAACGCAGAGAGGGATGGGGCAGAGGTGCAGAGGGAACAGTAAGAAGTCCAAGATATGTGGGGGCAGCTGATCTCAAAGTAGACACCATCCATCTGTTGGAGAAAGGTGACCCCAGACAGGCCACACAAAAGTCATGAGGGTCCATCTCACCACAGGGCTCGAGGTGGGTGCTGTGCATCAACCAGGTGAGTGGGGCTTTTGTCCCCAGGGAGGTGGTGGTCAACATCCCTCCTGCCCCTCTGGAGCCTGTTTCTCCTGGAATAAGCCCTATGGTGCTGCTCTGGGCAATGGTCTTGTTCAGGCCTTCCTCCTCTGAAATGTCTCGTTCAGAGCCCTCCTTGCAAGCTTTGCAAGGCATCTGGCAAAGATGTTCCTACTTCTTTGTCAGATGGAGGAAAAGTCCCTTCCTTCAAAGCATAGCTCATGACCATAAAGTCCGGGATGATATTTTGTCATGAAGTCCCTCAGCTGTGACCTCGTGGCGCAATGGTAGCGCATCTGACTCCAGATCAGAAGGCTGTGTGTTCAAATCACACCGGGGTCAGGATGTTCCATCTCCATCAGGAATCACTGTGGGATGGGCAACCAATGGGCAACCTGTTTTTGCCCTCCCACTCTGTACCCCACAGTCCTGTTGAAGGGCAGTAAATGAACCATGGCAGAGAGGTCTTTCCTTGCCGGATCAGAGTTAGGAAGTATATGGAAAGCCTCAGCCTTCCGCTCTATACCCTGGTGTTAGGTGGTTGAATGTTGGGATAAGATTTTTCCCAGGTTGAATAAACTCAGTTCTTTCCAGCTCTCCTCACACACCAAATCCACAAGTCCAACACCACCTTAGTGGTTCTCCCTGGACTTGCTTAACTATGCCAGTGTCTTTTTGTTGATTCAGTTGAAAGACCCGGCTATGGGGAACCAAAACCCAGCTATCAGGACTAGTCAATAGGATCTTTAACTCTCTTCTTAATCTCTTACTGGTCTCCCAAGCATTTCCTGGTGAAATGGACAGAAAAGATGGGGAACTGGAAGGAAAAGGAGACTTGAAACTATGGGATTGATATTATATGAGTTACAGTTTATTAAAAGTAGTCAAACTACTTAAACATTAAATGTACGTTAAACCACGACAACTATTTTAAGGGATCTTTAAAGGTGAAATTCAGAAGACATAAACAGGGGGGGGAAAAGTAATTTCCCCAGCTGTACCATGCCACAGCTGGGCATCACAGCTCTGGAGAGCTCTGGGGATGCCCTAAGCCTGACATTGCCTGGAAATAACAGCCACAGACAGAAGGCAGAAGAATCTGATGAACCAAGGGGGGCAAGGTCCTTCTGCATGCTTCCACTGTTCCTAACCCTGTATGAAAAACTAAATATAAGTCTATCCATTACTTCCATTCTCACTTATGTGATAAACGTAGACCTAAGGAATCCTGTCCCGTGTCCCAAAACTCTTTGTGCATCACCGATGGGTTGAGCGAGCAGAGGATTTCACCGGTGGTTGTCCTCCAGATGTCGCTACCTCACTGTTGTTTCATGACCTTGGCTCTTCCAAAAACCAAATATGCAAGAGAAGCACCCAAAGGGCTCCTGACTGTGGACGGAATGCGTGTAGCTATGCCATGGAGAAAACACTGCAGCTGGACTCTGTACATGTCAAACCCTGAACGTGCTGAGTGCATTCACTCAGCTGTGATTGCTGCTGAATCAGGGGGAAGATCTATGCCACCACTCTGCCTCTGTAACGTGCTCAGCACAGCATTGCCCTGCTCCCAAGGCTGACAGAGGAATAATACCAGGGAGCCCTTTTCCTTACAACATCTGGGATGTACTGGCAGACCCCAGGACAACAGAGCATCTTTACCATTTATACATTGATTCCTACAATACTCCAGAGAAGGAGTGGAGAGAAAACCTCCTGGTTTTGCTAATAGGGGGATGGAAAGGCTTTGTTGGGAGCTGGTTGTTGAAGCAAGGAATCAAATTCATGCCTTCAGAAGCTCCACATGTGGCTCACCATGCCACCCCTGAAAGGCTGCGCTCTGACCAACCTTCTGTGAGATCTTAGGCAGGTCATCTCCTATGAAAGTTGGGATAGGTTATGCAGATGTGGAATGACTCTGTATAACCTGTTCCAACTGTCTCTTACAGTGGCCCAGATATCCACAGGAAAGATTAAGAAAAAGACAAGCAGAGGCTGATACTTCCCTTGAAACACTTCTTGAGCTTCCCACTGACACTTCCAGGAAAGGGTTGGGGTTTTGTGTTCACTACCCTTCCAGGGTGTTTTCCTGGGAGTTTGCCTGATCACTTTCTAATACACAAACTGCCAGAAAAAGGATTGTGAACAATTTTTCCCATTGATCAGGAGAGGAAAGGACACACAGATGATGATGCCAGAGTAGCTCAGATGCCACTTCTATCTCTGTCCCAAATAATTTAAATTTGTTGCAAGCATCAATTAGTTTCACAATTACTCAGCAAAGCAAGTCCAGCTGCCACTGAATTATGTGCAATACCTTAGCAAGGCTCAGCAGATTCCTGGCTGCTCTCCCCTCCTCTGCTTGCTTCTCCCTATGCCTCTATTTCCCTTTCCAGTTGGTGACTTCCCACTAGGGAAGGACTTGTCCAGGTACCAGATGGGTAACAACAGAGACCACCAAATTTCAGCACAAAGGAAATAATGATTAACAAAGCATGAAGAGCTGTCTATAAAAATCTCACAGTTCCAGCCCATGGTACATTTATTTACACGTTTACATCAGGAAAAAGGCAAAATCTGATGTTTATCCATTTGCTCAGCAGGGTGAGGCCTCTATTTTATATGGAAAGGCAAGGCAATAGCCATGTAGATGCAGCATATCAGGGTAACACTAATTCCCCCATCTGAAAGAGCTGGGAGACCAGCAGACCTTCTCACTTTGCTATTATCTGTACAGTTTTCTTTGATACTTGATCTGATGGTCATGTTGTTCTCTCACAAGGTTTGCACCACTGAAAAATGAGCATCTGTTTCTCAGTCTTTTGTGTATTGAAAATAAACCAAACGTTCTTCTCTTTGTATGAGCCTTTCTCTGGGATTTTGTCACTTATGTGAGAAAAGGAGAAGCTTATCAAATAGGATTTGGTCCTGAAGCTTGCTTGCTTCCTTCCTTCTTTTATGTTTCTGAAATATTAAATCATATTCCTCTACTCAAAGCTGTTCTTGCAACTCAGTCACTGCACAAGACCTATGTCCTTTATACTGGTGAAATGGCTGAACAAATAAAGAACAGTTTTAACCAAAAGGACCAATTAGTAAGGGAAAAGCAAGAGATTTCATTTATTTGTGCTGTGATTGGAACAGCTTTGCTCCAAATAATGTACCATAACTGGTGAGCATTTTGGGGCAGGAGGAGTGGATGGAGGGGAAGGAGAGAAGGAAAGGCTTTCTCTACCCTCTTCTGTGAAAACATCCATAGCAAAATTCCCCAGGGCAGAATCACATCCTTGCTGGCAAGTCAACCAGTGTAGGGATAAAGGTACAGGATCGTGGCTCTGTGCTATCAGTTTGTATCATCAACACAGGCACAGTTTGGACTCAGGTTTTCTAGCACCAAGCCAAACTGTCCCTGGACACAGCTGAGGGTTGGCATGGGCCAGGGACCATTTGGAATAGTTTTAATTCAGCTGCCTGGTTCTGGAAAGTGAAAGAGTTAACAGTACAGACGTGGCCAGCCATCCTAGTTGCCCTAGAAATGGTCCCTGTCATGTTTAGGTGCATCATTGGCACAACTCTCCTTCCCATCCTTCCTCTGGCAACCTCCATCTGACCCACTGTTGGACTAGCTCCACTGTCACCCATCACAAGAGTTCACCAGCACACAGGAAGGTATACCAGAATATCTTTTGGCATACCAGAATATCCCTGTTCATCTATCCTTCTGCTCCAGCCCAGTGGAAGGAGTCAGACAGAAAAGAAAACCCAGATTTTAAGGTCACATATGTACTTATTCACAATCAGCTTCAGATGATCCAGCGAGGCAGCCCATAGGACTCTGCCTTGCAGGTCCTACCTGAAGAGCAGTGATTTGTGGGGCTTGCCTGTGAAAAGGTGATGTATTTTTGCGTTGATAAGGAGCTAGGGCTTTTTGCTCTATTTTTCTAATTCCTTACCAAGGCTAAACCTTTATGCCTACCTCTTGTATCAACACCCACAAAGACGCATACAGTGTCCCTCTGAAAGGCTGGAGATGAAGATAAGGGGTGGGTGAAACTGTGTTTTACACCCCCAGCAAAGACGGGGGTGTGAAAACTGTACAGAGGACTCTTGAGAAATGCAGCCCATAGTGCTGCTAGCAGACTTGGCCTTTCCAAAGGTCATTTGCCTGGCAATGCCTGGCTCATTACCCAGGAGGAATCCCATCCTAGGAGGTGGGGGGTTGAGGTGCTGCTGCTAAAGCGTGGTTTCCCAGCAAAGTCATGCACAGGGGAGCAGGAGCTATTAGCCCTGGGTGGCTCTGTGGAGACCTTTATGCAGAAGGCTGGAAGTGACCGTCTTAGCTGCTGTGGGGTTGGGTCCATGCAAACAGTCTTGAGCATTTTGTCAACTTCAGCAGATGAAAGTCAGATTAGCTCATGCCCTGTCAGAATGCCTGTGAACAGAGGAGTTCAGACAGTAACAATTCAATGGCTTCCCTTTCTTTCTGAGGGACTCATTCGGTCTGCAGATGCTGCAGTATCAGTGCTGCACCCAGGTAAGATTGGACCAAGCCTCACTCACCAGTATGTGGTCCAGAGTGGTGGGGAAACACCATCCGGGAGGTGGAATAAGAAG